GTATGGTAAAACCAGATCACTCGGAACATAATGGAAATATCGTTGAAAGGTTTTCGTTACGCATTTTACGATTACTAAACACCAAGGCTGCATCGTCAAATAGCTCAGACAGATAAGCATTTTGAATTCCGTTAGTTTGTGGGTCGTCGGAGTCCCCGCACCAGGACAAGTGGAAAACGACCCTTATCATACATCGTCCTTTATCGAGTATGTGGGAAAGGGCAATCGTTCGGATCTATTCTCTTTCATGAGTTGTTGTGAAGTAAACAACTGATCATATCAAATTATTACTGCTTAAGCGGCCTACCTATTGCCATGCACGGGCATGTGAAGTGAACAATATGTGAAGAAGACTTTTGACTTCTGTGTGTGGAAAGTCTTGATCGGTAGTTGGGAGCATATATAGTTGAATGCCGTCTCTTCATAAACGTTTTTGTCTCATTAAATGTTCTTAAAATATTATCCGACGTTGGTGTTCAGAATTTTTCACATTAAATTCCGCTTTCGTTTTGGTCAATGGAACCTTATTAACAGCGGGAGAATATACTTTGGAGTGTTATCAACTATTACTGTTTGTTTGTTTGTTGTTTAACGCCGCACTCAGCACTATTCCAGCTATATGACGGCGGTCTGTAAATAATCGAGTCTGGACCAGACAATCCAGTGATTGACATCATGAGCATCGATCCACGCAATTGGGACATGCATCAACCAAGTCAGCGAGTCTGACCACCGGATCCTGTTAGTCGCCACTTACGACAACCTTAGTCGCCTATTACGACAAGCATGAGTTGGTGAAGACCTGTTCTACCCCGGATCTTCAAGGGTCCAACTATTACTGACAGTGTGTGATATGTTTTTGTTATCCTACACTAGCACACATTGATATGTGCAATAGCATCTGAATGAGTCCAGAAAGCTGGGGAATAATGATCAGTCTCGAATATCTGTCGACACATTGGGCACCAGAGGCAAAATATTTAGGAAAATTATAGGAATGGATGACTGAAAATGAGTGCAAGACCAGACACTCTAATAACTTGGACGCCCTACCTTTAGGGTAGAAAATAATCAAGATGACCTTTTGTTTGCGACGGAATATCTTTTGCAGTCAGCTCTTTAAAATATGCATTTTTTCCTGAAAGCAGGAGTGAAACATTTGTTTACGGATAGGATCTAGACATCATTTCATGTCCTGCATGTTCAGTGAACGATTAACTTTTTGCGTATATCGGAGAACAACTTCTTTGTATCCATCATGTGAATCTAATTTTAACGATCTTCCGTTTTGATACCCACTATGCAGGCATTCGAGTAATACTTGCTAAAAGAGAGCCCCTTCCGGTATTGACAATTTGAAATTCGACCTAAGGGGTCATTTTCACAACCATAAGCGACACTAACGATGAAATGTCCCAGACACCTAAAACATAAGGGTGTTATCTGTGTGTGGTACTAGAATGGTACCTGAACCTGACTGCGGCGATCAATTTCGAAATCCCGCATGATTTAAAATGATACACGCAGATCATCCTATCCCCTTTTAAGCTTGAGTGATACACGCTGGCGACCCTATCCCATTGTCAACCTACATGAGGGGGGCACGGGTGGCCCAGTAGTCTAAGGCGCCGCGTATAGTTGTGCAGAGTTGCGTCCCTCGGGCATGCCAGAAACCTGTGGTTGTGGGTTCGAATCCCGTTTCGCCCCAATTATGTTTCTAGGCTTGTCAGCACCATACCCGTGCTCGTGGGTTTCACGTGGTAAACCTCTGAGACCTGCATCACTTCGCGCTTCCTGCCCACTAAGATGACACGCCGTGATATGACTGGAATACTGTTAAAAGCAGCGTTAAACACAACTCACTCGCTCACTCAACCTACATGACAAACTCGTCCTTGCCAACCGATCCACTTGTCGATTTCAAATGGCAAACGCTTGCCATCAGACCCCCTTGTCAAACTTGATAACACAAACTGACTCCCCAATGCCTTGTTATTTTTATCAGAAGCTGTATTTATTAACGCACTCCATTCGATTTATCATAGTTCAGATGTGTTCTATAGATGTTTCTCCTGGAACACATTTGGCTGGAAGACCGAGTCGCAAAAACTCACGAGGTAACAAGAAGTACCATGTTTTAATGCCTTTAGGTATAATGCGGTCGGGGATCGAACCCCCGACCTTCTACTCTCCGGGCTGGCGCTCTACAACATGACCATGGAGGAGGTGATTTAGAGGATAGATTTGTATGGTACTGGATATATCATTTTCACCATTAGAAATTAAACATACTTAGAAAGTGGTATTTTGGAGAAAATAAGTGAAACGAGATTAATTTCGAGTTTTTTAAATAAACATGAATAATAATCGATATTACGAGAAAATAATCGAAGTAACGAGAAAAATACTCGAAGCGACGAGAAAATGAAAGTGAAATCAGTGCATAATTGAAGCAACGATAAAATAATTGAAACTACCAGAAAATAATTGAAGTAACAAGAAAAATAGAAATGTGGAGCTATTTAAATTAACTTGAAATAACGAGAAATTAATCGAAATTACGAGAAAATAATCGAAATTACGAGAAAAAAAACAAGATTTTCGATGAAATAAACAAATAATTGCAATAACGAGAAATGTCGATTTAATAATAAATATATATAATATATATGCTTCCAAAGTCGTACTATTTGGCTACGGCATAGTATATACGTATGTTATATGGGCAGATAGCAAATCGCATGTTACAGAAATATTATACATAATTTAGCGGGCCGGATAGGTAGGGGTTTATCAGAAATATATTATTCATCATTTAAAACGATAGATGAGTGAAGGATACATACACATTTCGGATACAGGGTGCTGCCTGTAAAACCTCGCCCTGACGTAAAATAAACTCCATATGTGTACATGTCGACGGGAAGCTTTTTCGTTTAGCAACGGGGAAGTGTTATGGTTAAGTGAACTGGATGTCACACGGACGACGTTCTGAAGCATAGCGTCGTTACTGATAAAACGACGCAGCAGGTATTCACGTTGTACGTCGCATTTGGATTTTATACATTGACGAAAGCAAACTGGCCAAAAAGCCCAGTGTCTCAGCTTTAATTTCATATATGACATGTACGGGTGTCGTCCCGTTTTCCTGTCCTGGGATGCGTCCGAAGCAGACGGAGCATGGATTTCCAAACAAACAGTTTCAATCGTGCATCTCGTTTGCTCAAATTATGTGGGTCGTTAAACATCCACATCCATTTCGCCATATTATGTTATTATGTGTCTGTAGAATGAAGATTTCGGCGAGTATTGTTTACATGGTTTCTTTGTCAAACGGTGCAATGTATTCCTAGTGTTATTCTTGTAACAAGAGTGCTCTGAGAGCATAACATCCCCCGCATGATTTTTTTTAACGAGTTTATATTTTCTTTGTATTGTATGAAATAAAAACAGTAGATGGCACTGCATTTGAAACAAATTGTGCAGAACGTTTTGTTGGGAGAAATCCAGTCTGAATGCTAATGCCACAAGGATGTAGCTCACCCACAAAAGCCTTAAACAAGGAAACTATCTATAGTTATATCTAATTATAGTTAGATATTGTGATATTCTGTGTAAACTGGAGGAGTAGTAGATTTCATGAAGCTCCGTAAAACAGGGGCAGTAACTCTGTCAAAATTAGTCGAAATGAAACGGGACTGCGATATGCGTATCATCAACATGTCGACATCTTGTGTGTAGAGTGTCAGGGATATTCTCTAAAAGCTGGAGGAGGAATTGATTTCACAAGCTTATGACCTCTCACAATTAGGCAAATGAAGCTACGTAAAACGGGCAGTAACTTTGTCAAAATTAGTCGAAATGAAACGGGACCGCGATATGCGTATCATCAACATGTCGACATCTTGTGTGCAGAGTTTCAGGGATATTCTCTGGAAACTGCAGGAGGAGTTATTTCACAAGCTTAGTACCCTCTGTGGGACGGACAGATAGACGGACGGACTGCGCCACGACAATCCCCCTTCGCCCATTCTGGCCCGGCGGGGGATAAAAAGTGTAATCTAAAAAGTAAGACTGGTGAATTTTGTGTAGAATCAACTGTGGTAAGAAATTAATTTGAAACTACATGACCTCTACCATGTTTGAAATGTGAAAAGCATATTATTTATTGATTTTTAAAGATACCCTTAAGCAGTTGTGTATGATTGTTTTCAATTTTAAAAAGATTTAATCAAATTACATTTTAAAAAATAGAACCAAGTTGAAGTATTCTTCGAGTTCTGAATGAACGCAAATACAGTGTTTGGATAAAACATCAGATGTTTTCAATTGAAATTCAAACAAGATAACTCAACAGACAGGTATAGTTTATTTTGCTATTCAGTTTACATATAGGATGGTTTACTTCAACAAATTTCGAGATGTTAATTGTTCTAAAAATTGTTTCCGTTTTCAAACAATATTTTACGGAAAGAATCTGTATTTTTTCTTCTGACAATACCTAACGTATCGCAATAAACTATGGAAAAACAGTCTGGTGTTTAATAAGGTAACATGAGGCTTAACATTGCTACCCCGCTCTTAAACAGTATACTGAATCTGAGCCCACCGTTCTGTTAGAGCGTAACAAGTACAATCTTTTAACGTCTTTTGGTATGACGCGGCCAAGTGACCGAACAACCGACTATCCGCTCTCCGGGCAGACACGCCATTCACTAGACAACGGAGACAGCGTTTTATGAAATTGGATATTGATATGAGCATAATCATTTTAAACCTGACTTATAAACCTCTAGTGACGTCATCCTATTGTTCTGTCGGGATTTTAAATCTCCTAAAATCCCTTGTCATGTCAATCCCAGGGAATTTATATTATATAAAATCCCAGGGACTTAAACATCCTCGAAATTTCCCATCTGAAGCTGGCTGGTTGAACCTCTCTCAAAGAACAACAAAAAACAGATTCAGTCTCTTTAATGAAAGTGAAAATTGTATGCGACAGACTTTTCACGCGTAACATCGTCATCGAGTGGTGCAGAAGTCGAAGTTGTCGCATTCTGCACAGTGGAAACGATATCTGCTTCAGCGGTCACTGTTTTGGTTGATGTCCGAGCAACCTTTGTTCCAGTCAAGAGCCGAGAAACCCTCTCCTTTTGATCGGCAGATGGTCTCTTGTAGGCCCTTACAGCTTCACTTCGATGTCCTATAACACAATTGCGTAGTAATCATATAAAACTTGACTTGGATCCGCGTTCAAACATTTAACGAAGTTAAATCAAACATTGTTTGACTCGATATTTGGTCTTAATTCTGATGGTTGAATCAAAATGTTAAATTGCAATACATTCAATAACGGACTGCGAATTGTATTAACTTTCAACTTAGTGCAACAAATGGTATAAATGAACCTACCAGTTACTTCACAAATAAATTGCTCGTCAACATTTGCCTGGAAGGGTCTGGTACCTGCTCTCAAAGAGTGGTTAGTTTTCGAACCTGTAATCCAAGCAGCCTTGCAGAGTCTCTTAATGGTGGACTGTAGAGTATTGTGCCCAACTGGTAGACGAGTGAACCATTTCTGTGGACGGTGATTGATCATTGGACTGAAGTAAAAGTAGTCTGTGCCCTTTCCATCGGAACTGAAACAGTGTTTGTGCATTAAATGGTTATGATAGTAAGCAGCTATTTTACACAACAAAATTCAAACTGCTGAATTATACAGAATCAGAACTTTGATTAGTTTTCGGAAATATTCATAGGTACATTTGAATATTCTATCAAGGTGAATAGATATTGGACGTGGGTCGAGATTGAAATCTTCGCTACATCTAGTGAGGTAACAGTATAAATACTAACCAAAGAGAACGATACTTTTGAAACAGCCTGACATAGCATCTAGATGGATCGGCATTTTCTTTGTACAAAAGATAACGTCTACCTTTCTCATCCACGTGCGGCCCTGTTATTTGTGGCTAGGAATATAGTCTAAAGTTCCGGTGCTCCTTTCCACCTCGTAAGGCGAAATTCAGTCCTGAATATTACAAAATATCAGAATGAGTATATAATAACCCATCATGTTCATTTCAAAATTAGAGTGCAAATTTACGCCCACATTAGACAAGAGGTTCCAAAGTCGAAAAGTAACCAAATGCAAAATGAAATGGTAATGGTTTCAAAATATTGTTTATATATATTTTTCATAAATTGGAACATCCATTAAAGCCCAGAATTAATCTCATCGGAAATAAATTCATTTAAACCAAAATTGTGTGGTCCTGAACATAGTGAATGCATATTTCAAAATTGAAACCATATGGATACACATGAAAACATATGTACCTGTGAGATACAATATTGAATCAAGCAGCTGTCTTGGACTGTCTTCACCCAATGATCCATTCTTCCAGAGTAATTCCTCTTCATCACATGATATGGTTTCAGTCATTTTCCTACTGGAACTTCCTAAACCCTTCTGCGAGAGATTGCGCATAGCAGCATCTAAACACTTGCGAGCTTCAATAAATTCATCATCTTTAAATAAGTTAATGACTGAACCATTCTCTCTCAGTGCTGACTCAATCGCCGCGAAGAGTGCATAAAAGCTGTTGGCGGGATATTCTGGGCCATTTTGTTTTCTTGTTTCAAAGAGAAAGTATTTCAAAGCAATATTCAAAGATTCTTTATCCATTTGCAATATTGGTTCTACAAGCATGCTGTTGGCAATTCAAGGTTGTCTTTCATGGGCCGCAACCGTCTCTCTTCTTGCCACCTTGAAAATACGGACGCCCCCCAACTGTTTCGATATCAGGTTGATTTTGGAACACACACCTCTAATTTCTCTTCAATTTCTTTACCACATAAGGGCTCTCCAAACCTGTATTGAAAATCATCACTTTCGGATTCCGCATTTCTAAATGTGGACTGGGTCGGGAAAATTTCGTCTACACTGTCGATCGCGTCTTCTCTGACTGCATGACAGAATACAACTGAGAGAGCACGTGGTTAACTCCAGTCACTGGCACGTGCAAGCTGTGTTCGCGCGATGCGTTTTGCGACATGGCTTACCTTGTTTGGGGATTTGGGGATAATTTTAAGGTTCAAAATCGGTTTATAAGTAAGATAAAACACTTCCCCTCGGGTTGTTATCATATCTAAAACCCTTTCCCTCGGAAAATCCCTCGGGATGCGGGTTTTAAATATCATAACAACCCTCGACGTGTTTTATCCTATACATGTAATACTATTTTTCTCTATATAACTACTTGTGCATTGTATTTCACATATTCAGTTATCCATGCACGCAAAGTGACAGTGTTGTTCTTCGCACGTTCTTACAGAACACTATTTCTGAATGGGTACAGATATTTTGTATTGGAGATGCAGGGAGTGTCACGAGTCGGCACAAATGCACTTGAGCAATTATTACAGCGCACCAGCTCCGAAACTACTTGACATAAATAGTGTGAAGTGGGAGGCTGGCGGTAACAATTACTTCATTGTTTATGATGTGTTTCCATTTCCCAGTAAGAAGATGGACACACCCGGAAATGTTAACTGCAGATATCACTCACTCGCAATAACTCGCATCAAAACTTACACACGGCGTGTCCAACCCAGTAACAACGTAAGTATCACATTTGGTTTTACGACATTGTATTGCAGAATTCCTGTTTCCATATTCGCAGCAAGTAGTATATATTAAACGATGATTTTTTTCTCTTTGTAATTAAAGACAAAATCAATATGATCTTTCTGAATTGAACTATTCTAATTATCATGAAATAAGAATCGATCGTCCATGGGCGTTTTGCCGTTAGTGACCAAATGTATGTGGAGCTTTTTTGAGGGTGTGATAAGATCAACTATATAAAAAAGAAAGTGAAGAGTAAGAAGTACAGTTTTACGCTACGTGCCGCATATATATACTTAATTATAATGCACCCCTGACTTCTTTGGTAATAAATTGATGATATATATTTATTTTATAGAATACGTCGAACTATGCTGATATGGGCTGTTTTAGTAATAATAAATGGACTCGCTGCCGGTAAGAGAGTTTGTAATATCTAAATCGATTTCATACCTACTTGCGCATGTACTGCCACAAAAGTCGACACAGTGGAAAAAAACATGTACGTATAGACCCGAGAATGATCGATTTGTAGCCTCGTGAGCTAACGTATGACTTTCAGTACACATGATAAAACATTTATGTTTTGTTCATCCGTGACATACAAAATGTGCATTTTTAAACAAAAATAACAATTGACAGATAAAAATGCACCTTAATTATTGTGGATTGAAATGTGGGTTTTAATAAACGCCCTTAATGAACAAACACCATGTTGACGTATAAATCAACAACAGTGTTAAGATATTTATTCGATTTAATCAATCACATTGTTGACGTACATGTACAATGTATTAGATGGAGATGTTAAACGTTCGTTTCACCTTTTAGCTCAACGAACTAAATCATCACATATCCAAAACAACTAATCATATCAACACCACGATTGTAGAACACGAATGCTCTGGCGGCCTCTTCACGAAGCTCTCTAGATTGACGAAAAGTTGTTGTCGTAGCGAAAGAATCCTTGCTTAGTCTATTTCCGAAGCTGTCTTACAGGAAAGTTATGTTAAGTTTATCACAAAAATTAAGACAGGGTCGGACATGTCTTTGGAGCGTACGGCAGTTAAACTGTCGTATAAAGAAAACGATTCGACAGTATAGGTCTACTGTATCATTTCTGACCACAAGACCTTGTGGTTTCATTTGCACTTTCAAAACATGAACAACAGATCCTGCAAAAAGACGACCAAACATCATATTTACCGATTATGAATTATGCAAGGATCATAGTTTCATAATCATTTCATACAAATTGTGAAACAATATTATCTTTTTCATTTATTTCGGTTAAAACACAAGCAGCGTGTCCGCATGTCATCGCAATGACCGTGAACGTTTTCAGTAAACCAATACAGGGAGTGATAGTGGATTCCCTTTGTCTACGAGTAACGTATGACACACACACACACACACACACGCACGCACGCACGCACGCACGCACGCATATATATATATATATATATATATATATATATATATACACACAGATACATACACCCATATATATAGATTAATCGATGAATGAACATTCAATTTCGAATGATAAAACAAAACGATTCAATTTTATTCGTCAGTTATACTTACGATATATAACGCATTCACAATTATTAAAGAAGTTGTTATCGATAAATTGTGTCTACGTCGGTTTGCAATCGAGGTAGCGTGATTCCTTTTTTTTCCCAAATGATCGTTTGGGTGAACCACGTCGAGACTGCCGGACATCCTGTATGTATTGATGTTTCATTGCAATATGTTCAGGATTTCCTTCTCGGATCAAGCAAAGGGATGTTTGTCAGTGTGTTTGACATGTGGCCATATCGAATTACATATATCAGGCACGCATTTCTTCACCTGGAAGATAGTGTCCTTTTTCCTAGGTGTGAGATCCTAGATAGTGACAGTTTAAAGGAAATATGCTTAAAAGATATCACAGGGAAATACTGAACTTATAACAATAAAATATACGTACACGAACAAGTACACACAGGATATTTACAAAGTCCTATCTTATCTGTGTATGTGTGTGTGTGTGTGTGTGTGAAAGCCCACTTGACATGCCAGTATATTGGTGTTTTACACGATTGATAGGCTTGTAAGGTCAATGTCACTGCTAATGAAGTGACTTGTAATTTCAACAGCTTCCGATTCAGTTTCATGTCATTCAATACATTCCAGCAACCTCACCACCACAGGGAGGTCAGTCTTTACTGATGCCACAAAATATAACTGAGGGGACGCCCGTGTCACTGCCATGTCGACTGTCAGGAAGAATCAACTGGTTTAGAGGTGCAAAGCAGATCATAGGTGACCCGAGAAGACAAATGGACAGACACGGTGCGCCACCTTCATATATGTCGCTCCAACTTGTTTAAAAGTACTTAAGTTTAATTAATTATTTTTAAAAAATATCTTTCATTTACCAAAAGGTTATCGAAGTAAAATTAATTGTAGCCCCACACGAAGACCTATATAAACTGAACAACAAAAGTTCCTGTGACATTGAATAAGAATTAACGCAAGTTAAGTTTTTTACCAAATCTGTAACAATTTCGGTTTGCAACAGATAAAAGACTCCTGTAAGTGTTCAAATGGTTTAATTTGCAATACTGACTTCAGAAAAATGCGTAATTTCATATAAAAAACATGAACATGACAAAATGTCAATTTACAAATCAATAGCGTGTGTGTCCACCCCTGGTTACGATGCAAGCAACACATTTTAGTCTCATGGAATGGACCAGGCGTCGCACAAAGTCCTGTGGGATATCTGTCCATATCTGCTGGAGCATGTTTCAAAGTTCCTGGAGTGTTTGTGGAACACGTGGTTGACGTCGAAGGTGCCGATCCATCTCATCCCACATGTGCTCGATTGGTGAGAGATCAGGGGAGCGAGCCTGTCAGGGGATGACATTCATGTTGTTTTGTTGAAGGGAATCCTGAACAAGTCGAGCAATATGAGGCCGGGCGTTGTCATGTTGAAAGGTAATGCATGGGCCATGACGACGCAAAAACGGTAGAACAGGGCCGATGATCTCGTCGCGGTAGCGCTGTCCACTGAGATTTCCCTCTACCACTATCAAACCCCATACCATAACGCTGCCGCCCCGAACCGATCTTCTTCCATGACACAATGATTGACGTAACGTTCACCTCGACGTCGGTACACTCGAATCCGTCCATCGCTGTGGCTGAGGTGAAAACGAGACTCGTCAGTTAATAGAACTTGTCCCCACTGCATGGCCGTCCAGCGTAGACGCTGTCTGCACCACTGTAGACATGCCTGACGGTGGTTTCCTGTCAAAATGGGACGGCTGGCGGGTCTTCTGGCGACAATCCCTACACATCTGAGGCGGCGACGTACGGTTTGTGAAGACTTCTTGTGACTTCTTGCAGTCACTGTTGCTGGCTGGAATCGATTTCGTAGGTGTGTTGTTTGAATCCAGTTGTCTTGTCGATTATTGGTTACGCGTGGCCTGCCACTCCGAGGATGGTCTCTGACTGCATTCGTCTGTTGCCAACGTTGCCATAAACACCAAATGGTGTTTCTGTGGACGTTAAATTGTCTTGCAACATCACGTTGCCTTGATCCTGCTTCAAGCATACCAATGGCTCGCAGACGCTCTTTGTCGGACAGGCGTGGCATTTCGTAATGTTGAATAATTGCGTAATTTTTATTTTTTTTCTGAGTGGTTGTTGTCAGCACGATGCTAAACATGAATATGGAATCCCGTTAACGCACATGTTTTTATACCCATTCGTGGGTAGTGAAATGCATGGGGCTTGCATAAAAGTCAACTTTTGCATGGAATGCATGCTTGTCTGTAGCAGTTGCGTTTTTGTGACTTGATTGACTTGTACTACAATATTGAAAACCAAACTTTACTTGTTTGAAAAATACACTAAAATATTGGTGTCGCAGGAACTGTTTATGTTGAGTATTCTATATACATCATCATTTAACATGCTATCACTTGCTTGGGTCTTACTTGTATTTTGCAGGGAATCTTCACTTTTCGTACGTGGATGTATCAGATACTGCAGTGTATAAATGCAGTCGTGCTAGTAACAGCAAAGTGAAACTGGTCAATCCTGTCCATTTGAACGTCATAAAAGGTACATATTATATTTTCGTACCGGACGTGCCAGTAGCTTGTATTAAAGATGATAGGATGGAACCATGAGACCAACTAAAGTTATCAACTTGAATAAAATATAACTTATATGCATCTTTTAGCATAGCGTTAAACGTGTTTCCTTGGAATAAGCCCTATCACAATTGGAAGTTTTGAAACACTGATGTTTAGCATTTGACAGATGAAAGGTTGGAATTCCAAAAATTCATTCTGAAACCTCAATTAATCAGGTAAATAAGTGTCCAGATGTTGTGTATCTGTTATTATCGCACAACACAATCAGTCGTGGTCTTAGTTTATAGCTAATTGAGAATATATGTTACATGCGTTATATTTACCTTTCAGCCGCAGGCAAAGTCAAGGACGCCATGCCCAAGCTCCAATACTCAAGTGGGACAACACATGTTACACTGGGACAGGACGTAACACAACAGTGTATCTTCAGCGGCAGGTACAACATTATTCACACAGCCTGTGTTGTTGGTAGAATATTTGTTGCTTCCAGTCGACAAATTGATCCATTACAATTGGACCCATTACAGTGATGGATCAAGGGGTAGGGATGGGGGTGATTGATTTTTTGAAAGTTTTACCACGGTCATAAATAATGTACACTGAGGAAACTACCGTTTGAGTAAAACTCGTATGAAGTTAAAAGCTGGAGCTGCTGTAATATTACTCGAAATAAAGGATAGCTGACTATTGGAAAGTTAAAGTTGAAAGTCTTGTGGAAATTTACTGTCACTCTGAATCTTGCATAAATGAAAATATGAAACAGATGAGGCGGTTTAAATGGTCGATGTTATGTCTCGTTTCGGTGGGTAAATCAGTGGAAGGCAATTGGCTATTTGATCCAGTTAAAGGATATCAGATCTTCGATATTCATCAGAAGCATACATTGAATCTTCCCTTCAGTTGAAGGTTAGCACTATAATTCTGTTACAGACCCGTTCCAGTTGTAACCTGGTACCACGATGACAATCAGATCACGGAAACTGCTCGTGTGAAACTATCATTTACCTCCGTAACAATCAAGAACATGTCTGAGGAGGACACAGGAACATATCGATGTATTGGCAAAAACACTGTCACTTCAAACTCTCACGTTGTCAATTTAACTTTACCAGGTGAGCACAAACGTCCACGTTTTATTGTATTCATAAATGTCGACAAGCTAATAACCGTAAGTTTTTCTCAAACATCTGCAAGTTAAATTTGTTTCAGTTCGATGTTATTTTGTAACTTCTGTCGAGCCTAATGTAGTACGCTTTTAGTGTGATAAAAATAATGATGATGATGGTGATGATGATTATAATCGTGCATACTAGGAAATATGTTGTTTTTTTATAATAGAAGACCTAGTGTTTCTTTATATACAGTCCAACCAAACGCTGAGCTGTCCACGACACCTGCTGAGCAGAATGACGACACGACAGCAGGCAAGATATGCATCTTTTAACATAGATAACAACCTTCTATATTTGCAGTGTATTCATTCTTTATTCTCTCAGTTACAAAGCAAGCATGACTTAAGTAGTAGTCCATGTTACATAACAGCTAGGCAAAGTAGCTCGCTGTTAACCTTGTTATCGCTGTTACTTGTTATTCTGTAATTAAAGTAGTTGTGGACCCGTGAAGATTCCGGGGTAGAATAGGTCTTGCCGTAAAAGGCGACTATGCTAGTCGTAAAAGGCGACTAACGGGATCGGGTGGTCAGGCTCGCTGACTTAGTTGATATATGTCATCGATCCCAGTTGCGTGCATCGATGCTCATGCTGTCAATAACTGGATTGTCTGGTCCAGACTCGATTATTTTATAGACTGCCGTAATATAGCTGAAATATTGCTGCGGCGTTAAACAACAAACCAACAAACAAATAAAGTAATAGTGAATCATATCAATCAAACCATAGCGGTATTACCAATTTTTTCTCATTTGCTAAGGCGTAGTCCAATGTATGAGTGCACGTACATGTACAGTAACAGCCGCGTGTTGATAAAGCCATAATCCGATTGTTTAAGTAATATTAACTTAACATCAATAACATATTTCGAAACATTTAAGAATTTTATTTCGAGACTTTTTTTAATCGAGATTTATGAAATGCGAAATTGAATTTTATCATTTCAGCGTTCTCTCTTCTGCATGTTGCATTAGTAATTGCGTTCATCGTGCTGGTCCTGATTGGTGCAATTGTGTGTAACATGATATGGTGAGGATCAGGTTTTCAATGTTATATACCTCATGAAACCTTCTGCAGAAACGGTCAAGCTATTTCCATATAGTAAACTGATTATCTGAAGAGAAAGAATTTGCTGACTTCAAACGTGATGAAATAAATAGGTTAATTATGAATTGTAACCATACGCAAATTGTTGATTAATTTTCTCGTCCAAACAATAATCGTATGGACATCTGTGGTCTGGGGGGTCAGAAAACACAGCAATAAATAAAAATCATTCTTTGTCATTCTTATAAACAACAGAAATAATATTGAAGTAATAACCGTGCAATATCATATTCGACAACCTGCTTTTTGTTGGTTGTTTTCTTTCTCGAAAGCTATGATTGGTATGTTTAGTTTGTTTGTGTGTGTTTGTTTGTTTGTTGTCTAATATATGTCATGCATTTTGAACTAATTGGTGTTTGAGGGTCTTGCATATACATTGCTGGTACTTCGAATTAAGTCCCCCGCTTAAGGCTCTCATGTTGTTTAATGCCGCACTCAGAAATAGTCCAGCTATGTGATGTTGGTCTGGAAATAATCTAATATGCACCACGTATTCCAGTGATTGACCAATGAAAAATCAAAGTTTGCTGTATATTGTTGATTATATGGGTTGACGATTCTCTTAACAGAAAGTTTAACAAAAGAAGCAATACTAGTAACACCCACTGATATTAAACAAAACTATATCTTACTTAATGTTTTGCAAATTATGGAACGCACAGGTGTTACTGACGTATCACTATTCTGTGAGTAAAATGTTCATCATTGTACCTATTATCTTTGTTAAGTGTATGTAAATCGTTTAAGTTAACATGCTTCTATTTCAGGCGCTTGAAGAAACAGGACAACCGTGAAACAAACTTCCAATATGACGATGGAGGGGTTAATGTGGGTTGGTAATCACCTTCGACCAGCAATCTAATGTTATGTAGTGCATGGAGGCATGTGTTACGCACGTGTGCAAGAGATCTATCAATAAGACTATTAGGGAAAGTATTATGTTTCTGGTCCCTCCCGGGGGCGGTGGAGCAGCCTAGAGTTCGCTCATCTCACCGAAGACAGGGTTCGATTGCCGACATGGGTACAATGTGTGAAGCCCATTTCTGGTGTCCCCCGCTGTGAGATTGTTGGGATATTGCTAAATGCATTCTAAATCCATACTCACTCACTCACTCACTCACTCTGGTCCCTCCCTGGCATTCAAGTAAAATGTATCAAATGCTTTATTTGATTAAAAGTATAATACTATTGTAATACATTTCTCAATATAATAGGAATAAGTAGATAATTGTGTCGCGAGAGTCGTCTTGAAACTGCTTCTTTCGTGGACTTTACAAAAGTTGGGCCAGACAAACCAGTGGTTGATATTAGGAACCGCGTCGCACACCATCGAGGTACGATGAGACGCCGTCAACGATCCCGATCCAATTTAGTTGCTTCTTTGTCGAGTGCTAGGGACCTAGCTAACCCGGGACCCCAGTTTGTAAAGACATTGTATTATTGTTGTATATATTTCATAACTAAGTTCCTTTTGCTGTCATATCCAAAAGGGGCGGTGGGGTAGCCTAGTGGTTAAAACGTTCGCTCGTCACGCCAAAGGTGCGGGTTCGATTCCTCACATGTGTACAATGTGTGAAGCCCATTTCTGGTGTCCTCTGCTGTGATATTGCTGGAATATTGCTAAAAGCAAACAATACTCACTCACAATATCCAATTACGGTCACTATGTCGTGTCAAGACATTCGTTCGGTCAACGTCAGTTGGCAAGAGGGTTGGCTTAAACGTTCTGACATATGTCTGACTTCCGATCCTATTTGGTTGCCTCTTAGATACCAGGTGTTAGCGGAATGATGAGCGTATCCTGTCCCACCGGTGGCACCCGTCACAAACACAAGCAAAGGCAAATCAATTGTTCACTTTCATATGGTACTATTAAAAATAGGGAAATGCATTGGACATCCTTGTTGTCACTGATCATGATCAAATTTGGAAATGTCTAACACACAACTTTTTACTGAGGCCTTGAATTGTTACCTTGATCAAACAACTTCTGCGCAATAGTCAAATTGAATACATTTTTCTCATGTTGCCTTAATAAATGTCATTTAAAACATACAAGTGTTGTTGTTTTCGTTTGATCCTATAATATAGTCTTAAATCGTTTTACATTGTGAAACAAAGAGTGAATGGTATGTACCGCCACAGTCACACATATTCCAGCTATACATCTGTGGCATGTACTTGACAAACAGGTGACAGAGAATGCACAGCTCCAGTGATAGGACTGGAGTGGAAGTGGAAGTATACACAAAGTGGATCATGAATAAATTGTACTCGCGTCCCGTTAGAATCGGCACTCAGCACGCTATTGCTTGGCGACAGAAACTATTGAATTTGATTGCTTTCGGATCATTGCTTTCATTGTACCCCAAAAACGTGGGACTTGCGTATTCACTGGTTTGCGTTATCAGTTTCGATTTACGTCTGAAACTGTACGTGAGTGAGTTATGTTTTATGCGCTTTTAACAGTTCTTTAGTTATATCGAGCTGGTATTCGAACCCGCGATCAGCGGATCCAGGACCAACTATTGGACGAATTGCGGCGAACTATACAGCTCAGCCTCCCGTGTCCCACAATACGATCCTTGAGTGGGCACAATTGTAAATGAAAGTGTGAAACTCAATAAGTGAATAACATAGAGCTATTAACGATCACAGTGTTACTTTATGAAATATATAAGGGGGAGTCATTGTTCTTCGTTAATGAGATAAATGATGCTTTTAGCCTGACACTAATATAATAATATAATAATAAAGTCCATTTCTTCAGCGCCATGTCCGTCTACGTAGTCGCTCATAGCGCCTCACACAGGGTCATAGACACATCTAAAGAGATAAGTCTTTAGTTTTGTCTTGAAAGTGTCCAGAGTTGGAGATTGCCTAAGGGAAGGGAAATCCAGATCACAGATGCAGTGTGAGCAAAAGTTCTGTTGCCGAATGCTTTGAGTGAGACCATAGGGACACTAAACTGGAGATTATGTGCTGATCTGAGATCTCGTGCAGGCTGGTGTAGGGTAAGAGGTTCACTCATATAGGAAGGTGCTGTACTATAGTAGCACTAGTATGCAATGCAACGACTTTGTATTCAATCCTAGATCTTATTGGAAGCCAGTGTAATGATTTTAATAAAGGAGTGACATGTGCACGCTTATTTCGTCTACATATCAATCTGGCAGCAGCATTCTGTACACGTTGCAATTTGCTACATAGATCCTGTTTGATATTAATAAGCAGACTGTTAGCATAGTCCAACCTGGATAGGATAAGTGATCTCACGAGCTGATGTGCCGCATCGTATGCCAACATGGGTCTTCTCTGACTGATATTTCGAACGTGGAAGTAGCAACTTTTGCAGATATTGTTTACTTGACAATCCATGGTCAGGTTTTGGTCAATGATGACTCCGAGGTCTTTGACAGTCAAAGAAAAGGGGATAACAACTCCATCAACAGTCAAGAATGATTCGGATATTGATGCAATAGATCGGCTACTCCCAGTGAGTATGACCTCGGTCTTATCAGGGTTGAGCTTCAGACGATTTTGTGTCATCCATGTCTGGATCGCAGATGTGCACATTCGCAATTCTGCTATCACCTGTGCTGAGACACCAGGTGTGAAGACCTTCATGAGCTAACTATCATCAGCATAACCATGACGACTATTGTCAAAAGTGTCTGTAACTTTTCCTAACTGAGAAATATAAATCACAAACCACAGAGGTCCCAATACAGAACCCTGGGGCACTCCATAACAAAGGATTGAATCTTCAGACGACATGCCATCAATCGAAACAGCCTGCTTTCTGTTACACAAGTATGATGTAAACCAAGCAAGTGCAACATCTGTTATACTAAGATTAGACTGGGGACGACGAAGTAGCCTGCTATGGTCTATGGTGTCAAATGCCGCTGATAAGTCAAGAAGGACAAGAAGTCCTACATTGCCCTTATCAGCAGCTGCCAGCAGATCATTCATGACTCTCAGAAGACAAGTTTCTGTTGAGTGAGCTGGCCTGTAAGTCGATTAGAACTTATCATATAAGCCATACTGTTCCATATAATCTGTAAGCCTGACTTTCACAGCTTTTTCCAGGATTTTGGACATGAACGACAAATTACTCACAGGTCTATAGTTCAAGAGAAGGTTAGGGTCCAAAGTCTTCTTCTTC